CGTCAAGGACCCTCAGTGTGTGTAAACACCCCTCCCACAGAGTGCCCCAAATTGACCATGCCTTTTGGACTTTGCATGTGTTTAATATCCATTTTGTCCCTTGCTGTCATGCTATCTCTTCAAAAGACTATCTCACCAGGAAAGCCAAAGCCTGTTTAACCCATTCAGGAAGATTTTTACTTCTGCAGGTTTGTATTACAGTAGAAAGCCCACTGCTTGCTTAGCTGTCACACTCACCACCCTGCCACTGCTAACACGAAGAAAATCAAGGTGATTACACTTCAGAATTGTCTGGTTAAACAGTGTGGAAAACAACAAAGAAAACTCGAGAACTGCACACATACAAATGAAAAAATTAAACTGAATTTGTATTTCAAAAAAACAAACAAACGACTATCTCACCATTACATAACACTGTTTCTAAACTAGAGTACTGCTTCATAATATTCTAAGAAAAGTCAGAGTAAATAGGCTCTGAGTAAGAACCTAAAAGACTTGCAGAACAAAGCGCCAGCACTTAGGTCACCTATCTTGCATTTTTGGCTTACTTCCTGATTCCTGGCTCAGAGCTGAGTTTGTCAGATAATGTGGTTTAACTCACCTGAAGCAGAAAATTACCTGTACTTTTCCAATATTGTTGCCCAGAGTTGCCTAGCGATGCTGCCACACCTACTTTCATGACTGCGTAATCAAAAGCCATTAATCTCTGTTTTTGAGGGTAGGGCCTTGGGACTGCCTCATATCCTCTATCCCCATGAACATGATGGGATGACAGCTCCACAAAGCTAATTAGATCCTCTCTACAGTTCTGTACAAAATATTCAAGGAAATGAAAAACAAAATCCATACAAAATCAACCATCCACCACTCTATAATCTGACAACACCATTTTTTTTTTTTTCCTGATCTTCCATGGCTGGCATACAACCTAACACACCTGTACAGAAAGCTCTCTGCAAGCTTTGAAGGATTCATCATGTACCTCCTGGGGGTACCATTACCTTTCTTTAAACTCCACTGGCCATCTTTTACCCTTACACCACTATGACCTACTAGAATTGAGAGGCCAGAAAGACACGTACAGAGTTGACAAGTGAGCCTCTGAGCATGAGGAGGACAATGCAGACCCCAGGGACTACTTGGATGGGTTGGGGGAGCTATTATATTTGCTCTGAGGTCAGACTCGGGACTTGAATTCCTCAGGAGGAATTTCTCCACATTCCCCGACCTCATCACCTTTGAGAGCCATGAGTCCCTGAGGCTGGTCTCTCCAGTGCCCTGGGAAACCTAGGGCCCTACAGCCCCTGCAGGACAAAGCAGAGCATGGCCAGGCCCTCGTTCTGGTGACTGGTACTCAGAGTAATCAGCAGTTTGCTGGTGATCAAGCTACATGTAAAACGGTACTCTCCGCTGCAGGGGGTGGGGGCTGAAGTGCCCCCAGAACCTAGGGAACATTTCAGAAAATCTCATTGTTGAATTGAAAATAGATGCCTTGATGAGTGAGAGGGTAGTCAACATACACTGTTTCAGGTAAAGTGCTACAATTTAATTAATAAAGTCTTCTAGTACCTAAGCAAAGACTATGTAAGGCAATTTGATGGTTCAAAATTGCCTTATGTTCAAAGTGAGATCACATCCCCAGCTAATGCAAGACCTCTCATACCCAGACCCTTCCGTCACCAATTTCTTTGAAAGAGAAGCCCCAGCTGACTGGTTTATCAAACAAGAGAGGGGAACAGAGAAATGAGCAACAAAGAACAGCTGGCAAAGGTGAGCTGGTAAGGCAACAAGAAGAAGGAAAAATATTGTGACAGTGAAAAAGCCCATGAGAGGGAGAGAAAGGCAAGTGAGAACACACACAGGTACAAATATATATTTTAGGATTAGGCAAGAGAAGATCATCTTAATGAATAAAACATATGATGTATGCCCCACCCCCAAAAAAACAAACTTCTATGAACGTGTCAAAAAATATTTTTATTATGTATTTGTTCCTAAAATAAAAAATTATAAAAAACAAAAAAGTGTTTGTAATCTATCATCTCAAAAATGCCATGCTAATTCATAAAAATTTATACATGAGGCCATATTCTAAGTCTTCCAGAACTATACTTAGAATTATTTTGTCTATAAATAGGTTTCTAATTATATTGTTTACGATGCACCTTCCTTCAACCAAGCGTACAAAAAGGAAGCAATATGCCCTCTACAAACTCACCCACTGCATAATTTTACTGAGAATTACTCAAAATGAGGATATTTTGCAAATGTGATTTTCCTGTTTCCTAATGTTTTATATTTATCAAAGTACTGAACTTGGAGAGGTTGGGTATGCAGCAAACCTAAAGTAACTGCACACTTCTGTAAAATTGCAAAATGCGTTTCATTACTCATTGCCTTTTAAACACCATCTTTGAAGCTTTCAGAAAATGAAGAAATCTGTGCAGCAGTAAAAAAAATGACAAAAGTAAGGAGATGCTGTCTAAATGATTTATTCGTAACATACAGTTTTAGAATCATACTTATCAAGAGCAGCAATGCCTTAATTTCTATCATCAGTATGTATAAAGGAATTAGGAGAAAAGTACACAGAGCATTGAGGAAAACTACCTCCCACAAAGCAACGTGGCACACTCTTTACCAAATCTCATCTTTCTAAATCCCACATTCTCCTACTGAGTGGAGCAGAGCATACCAAAAAGCAGCTGGGTCCCAACAGCTTTTAGGACACAGAGATATCAAGCAAGGAAAATGTCAGCTAACGAGTCCCAGAGGGAAAAGAAAGGAGGAGATGAGGACTTGAAAACATAACCAAGACAAGGCTGCTTGTGCAGAGCAGGGAGCCAGAAGGGGTTGAGTCCTCTTTGAAACACCTGCCTTTTCCTCCACAATTAACTGAAAGTTGATCACCACAGTTGAGAGTCAGGGTGAAAGGCGACTTGTTCAATTAATACTGACAAAATGTATGACCTATACCTATTCAAAAAATTACAGTAACCTTGAGGACATTGTGCTAAGTGAAATAAGGCAGTCACCCATGGACAAACCCTGTATGATTCCACTTATGAGGCATCTAGAATAGGCAAATTCAGAGACAAAAGTAGAATAGGGGTTGGTAGGGGGGATGGGGAATTGCTGTTTAATGAGCACAGAGTTTCAGTTTTATGAGATAAAAAGAGTTCTGGAGATGAATGGCAGTGATGGTTGCACACTGATGTGAATGTAATTAATTAATGCCCCTGAACTAGACGCTCAAAAACGGGAAACGGGGTCAATTTCACATTATGTGCATTTCACCACAATTAAAATTTTTTAAATATATAAATTTAAAATACAAAATGATTATCTTTGTAAACCTGAAAGAAAATTGCCACCAACCCAAAATTCTAAACCTAGAGAAATCTCCTAAAAGGATGAAGGAGAAATAAAAATATTTTCAAGCAAACAAGAACAAAATTGAATTAAACTAATTAAAATTTTTAAAAAATAAATATGTCACAATTTCAGCATGAATCCCAGGAAAGGAACGCAGATGTTCAAGCTGCCCTTTCACTTTCCAAGGAGGTCACATCTCCTTCACCCCCACCCCATCTGTTTTCCTTCACCATTCTCTAGTACAGCTTTCCTAAGAATCTTTGGGGCACAGATTAAATAGACAGATCTCCAGGCCTCTTCCTTAGAAATTCTGAGGGACTAGGTCTGGGATTAGAACCAGGTTCTAAATTTTTATAAGCACAAAGATGACTCATGACAAAATCTGGTGAACCTCAGCCTAACATATGCCTTCATCTTTGATCTGTTTGTCAAGGAAGTTGAACTGGTATGCCCTACAGCCATCCCACCACGCCCTGTACTGCACACACAGAGCTCCCCGCTGCGAGACCCATAAACATCCCACTATGCAAAGCAGGGAAGAGACTGCTGCTCTGACAAATGGCTGAGTCACTGATAGTGAACTCCACCTCTGCCATAAGCAATCATATAATTGGACAAAATCATGTTTTCAGGTATCGAGTAACAGGCAGTACAAGGATGATCCCTGAGATAAGGGACACTCACAAGGAGGCTGCCACCACTGCCCTGGCTCTCTGCCAGGAGACCATTTTCCAACCGCAGCAGTGAGCTGGAATCCAAACAGCATAGCAGCCCTACTGAGCTGAGGAAGCAGAGGTCAGAAGTTTGAGTCAGGCTGAGCAGCTGGCAAGGTACAGGGTCAAGAGGTATACAGAAAGGACAGGTCAAGAGGTATACAGAAAGGAGGGGTCTCCGAAGTCTCGGGAGCTGGGGGGGGAGGGGGGCGCTGTTGCAAGGCCTTAGCTGAGGAGTGGGCTGCAAAGGCCCAGCGCAAGGCTGCCCAGGGCTCACCAGAGAGCTGGCGTTNCTCCCAACTAGCAACCCTCAGTTTTTCCTGTGTCGCTGAGACTATTTCTGTTTATATTTCTCATTTATTCAAGGAAAGAAGCCATTTTTAAACAGAGAGGATTAAGTGAGGCCGAGGCCGCTGTTCCTGCCGAAGAAGCGGGGACCTTCCAGCGCCTCTTCCCTGCCTGGCCCAGAGAAGAACCCTATTCATCCTAGGAGTACAAGCCGATCCTACCGAGTCATTCGAGTTAGCATCGAGATGAAATCTGTTTCCCTCTCCTGCTTTTAGGCATTTTAATCACCCCGCAGTTATGACACGGACATCAAGAGCCCGTGCTAAAGCCATCTATTGGGCTGTCGGAAAAGTCATGATGTGTTTTTCTATGTCTTTCATTGCAAAAATGCGTCATGACTTTTCCGACAACCCAATATGTTGCTGCCCATAAGTGATCAGCGATTCCGATGTTATTTGCAATGCACTCCACCTCCAGGGAGTACATACATTTTGGAATGACTGCAGATTTGGCCCTAAAAGAGTTAAACCTCACCTAACTGGACCACAGTGACACTGAGCAAAAGGAGGCATGATTTTACTAAAATCCGCCTACAACTTTAAGAAGTTATTTGTCACCAAACCTTGATTCTTCGGATGCTGACGACTGCCTCTGACACCCTCTCGATGGCGGAGGGGAAGAAGAGAGTGACGGTCAAACGCACAGCCCCATACAGTGTCACTGCCACGAACACACGGCTGGCTGTGATCACATTGCCAAGGAGCACGTAGACAGTGAAAGTCATGAAAATGATGATTTTGCTTGCAACAAAAAATGATGCTAAATTCATTCCTCTAAGGTAGGAGCTCCTCAGAACCTTGGAAATTTCCTTTCTGGAAAAGAGAGTAGGATATAAGTTTTAAAGGAAGCATCAACATCAAAGTCATGAGTTCAAGAGCCTTTTGCTTTTGGCCCCTTTCTAAAGAGTGGACAGGCATTAAAATAAAGTCATTATACAGCTCACATCCTGGGTCCAGCTCCCACACAGAAGCCACACACTCCATACCAGTTCACTCACCCACTAAATGAACACCGAAAGCCATACTTTAACATTTTGGGCCAACCAGACTGGGTTTGAACATTCATTCAACAAGTATTCGTGAACACAAGTCCTATGACGGCCACCTCGCTGATGACAGAAAGACACAGCCTATCCCCTCCAGGAGCTCATGAACTCATGGGAGAAGAGACTGTGCCACCCAAAACTTGTCTGACACCAGGGCATTAGACAGAAGCAGCCTGCAAGGCCCCCACAGGCACAGAGAAGAGGCATGTCAACCGGGAGTCGTGGAGTCAGGGAGAGTCACACACAAGAGGGACCAGAGAGGATGACCCTGAGTTAGTCAGGGTTCAGGGGGGACACGGGAAATGAGGAGAGTGCTTTCAAAGCAGTGGGAGGTGCACCTACAAAGGTGCAGAAGTGACAGGAGGCAGGGTACGATCAGAGAATGATAAGTACCATGTGCTGGAGTGTAAATACTCATCAAATATTTAAATGAAAGACTAAACAAAAATTCTACGAACATAAAGCAAGGCAAAAAGGAACAGGATTTCCATGGCTCTGTCTGGAATGAATAATACTGGTTCACATAGTTTGTTCCGATAGAGGTACAACCCAATCTCTAGAATCTTTCTGTATGTGCTGCATTAACATGTTACATTAATAGTTTTAGTTTAAATGTCATATCAAATACTAACATTGTAGAATCACTGTTTGTGGGGTATTTGAGGTATGAAAAAATATTTGGAATTTCATTTGTGTCTAAGTAAGAGGTATGTATGTGTATACACACACACACACACACACACACACATATGTATGCATTTTAAGAAGATGGGAAACAGAAGAACAGGTTCAAGTGATGTACCACGCTATTGTGTTTAACGCTACTGCCACATGTGGGAGTTGGGTGGTAGTATTTAATTAAGTTCGCCTTAATATGAAAGTTTCGTAAGACTTCTAAAACCATGCAGTAAAAAATAAAAAAATTAAAACCTTGTAACTTTGTATGATGATGGATGGTAACCAGACTTATTGTGGGTGATCACTTCAGTGGCTACAAACGTTATGTTGTATGCCTAAAACTAATGTAACGTTCTATGTCAATTATACCTCAATTTCTAAAAAAGACGAAAATGTGGTGTGATATATTCAAAAACTTACCTTCTCAAATTGGTAATAAGGTCCGCAAATGACTTTTCCCAAGCATACATTTTTATTATTCTTATGCCAGTTATAACTTCATTCATGGTCCTGATCCTGACGTCTGTAAAAGTCGCAGTCTTACTCCTAAGGGGACAGGCGTGAGAGATGAGCCACGGTGACCACAACCCAACTTCCCCCATCAGCAGTGGTCACAGGCAGGGACCAGAGATCAAATGATTCCCTACAGCGTTTTTGCACTGACAGCAGAGGCAGGTCCTGCTCAAAATATAACTAGAGAAAGACTTCAAATCGGAAGTCAACAATTCATCCCAATTCAAGAAGTAACTTGAAGAACTTGCAATAGCTGCTCAGGATGACATGCAATGTGTCAGACACAACCCGTCTGCTCAAGGAGGTCACGAATGGGTACAAGGAAGGAAGGCACCCAAATCGAACAAGAACATAATCGGCTGTGGTGTAATAAAATAGGAATACAGTGCTGGGGAGCAGAAAAAGGGGCGGGGGCTGTTCATTCTACTGGGAAAGGAGGGTGCAATAAAGCTTCAGAATTCTGGGGGCATTGGAATGGGCATCGAAATAAGGAACATTTCTCCAGAGCAAAGAGGGGAAAGGATATTCCAAGTAGAGAAAAGTATACCAGGTATAGAGGCAAAAAAGAAACAAGTCAAACAGCACATCTCCATCCGCCTGACAACCTTGACAATGACCCACTTCCAACCCTCTGGGATCTGCTTCGGGTCTATTTCATCACCATTAGGCTCTTCCTCACCAGCCACTTTTCTATGACATCCTCTGCTAAGGACTGTGGGACATTATAAAGACTTACTTAAGGTTGACCTTTGTCCTTGGGGAGCTGGTAACTTAATGGAAACAAGGAATTATAAAAACAACACACACACTGCAAATGACTCCAACACAAGCATAACAAAAGTATATGCAGCTAGAATTGGCCTATATCTAAAGGCATTACTATTTAATAATGTTTAAATAACTTCGACCTATATAAATGCTGCTAAGGACACTACTTATTGAGGTTCGGTGCTGTGAGGNGGGCGCTGTTGCAAGGCCTTAGCTGAGGAGTGGGCTGCAAAGGCCCAGCGCAAGGCTGCCCAGGGCTCACCAGAGAGCTGGCGTTACAGAGTAGCAAGCAGAACACAGATGCTGAAAGTCGAGCAGAGTTGGGACGCTGGAGTTCTTGCACAACCAAAGCAGAGAAACCTTAGTCATACATCATTAACAGGGTTGGCATAAAGTTGAAACACCCCGGAAAAACCATCCCTTAGAATTAGACAATTCTCTAGGGCAGTGATTCTCAACTGGGGGGATTTTGCCCCACTCCCCACATCATTAGTCACCAGTGAAATAAAAATCAAAACCATAATGAGATATGACTTTATACCCTTATAAATAACTAAAATGAAGAACACTGACAATACCAAGTCTGGTGAAGATGTGGAGCAACTGGAACTCATGTATTATGGGTGGGAACCTAATATATAGTAGAATCACTTTGAAAACTCACTGGCAATTTCTTCTAAAGTTAAACACATTTACTGTGTGTCACAGCAATTCTCCTCCTAGGGGTTTACCTAAAAGAAAAGCATACATCTACAAAAAGACATGTATATGAATGTTCATAGCAGCTGTATTTGAAACAGCCAAAACCTGGAAACATAAGTCTATCAACAGGTGAACAGGTAAACAAATTGTGGTGTTTTCATATAATGGGATCCTACATTCCACAACGGAGGCGGGGGGGCGGGGGGCTACTAAAAAACACAATAGCATGGAATAATCTCAGAAACATTATGTTGAGGGAAACAAGCCCATCACAAAAGTACCCACTATATGATTCCATTTATATGAGGTTTTAGAATGGGTAAAACTAATCTATAAGCTAGAAATCAAATTGATGGTCATCTGGAGCTGAGGCAGGGAGGCAAGTGACCGGAAAGAGGCAGGAAGGAACATTCTGAGTGATAAAATTGATCAATATATTGACTGCCATGTACCTATTCAAGGTACATAAATTTGAGAAACTCAAACACTTAAGATGTGTGCCTCTTATTTATGTAAATTACACTGCTGAGTTGATAAAAGCGAAGTAGTGTAGAGAAACAGAATTTTAGTTATATGAAAACAGAAGACACTCAGTATTAAATGATATATCATACATCCCAAATTGAGGAATGTTTTAGGTATACTAACTTTTGATGGATGTGTGCAAAAATATATTACTATTGTTGGGGCATTTTTAAAAGAAAGCCAATTATTACCAATCTGCTTTGAGATTGGCTGGTTAGTAAACACCTATTACACTAATCCCACACAGCCCACCTCCAAGGGGTACCACTCACATTGTCGTAGGAGACCTGCACAGCTGGAGTGGCAGTGTCCTGCCTTACTCAGCCACCATTAACAATTACAACGAAAAAAATACATCTGAAGGTAATTTTTGTCATATGCAGCCCAAAACATGGCCCAAAGAGGCAAACCATGTAAGTAAAAGTAAAGTGATGAAAATAGATAACTTTAACCCCAAGACAGTGAACATAGGCAATCCCATTGAATGGACTATCAGTGCCGCCAGTCAAAGGGTAAGACACAAGTCAATTTAGTGACAAAACTGTATACAAACTGTGAACATACTAAGATTTTAACTGTACAAAAATATGTGTAGCTAGACAGAGACTGGAAGAGAATCTGCAAAAATGATATTTGCCATTTTATAATGCTGAGGTTTGGGCTATTTCCTCCCAAATTTTTGACAACCGTAAGCAAAAACAGCAATGCTTCAGAAACCAGCCAAGTTTCAAGACTGACAGGCTTTGCAGATTCCTATCAGTACCATGATTTCCTAACCACAACTTTCCCCTCTCTAATAGAAAGGACTGGTTCCTTTCTACTCTTTCTCCATCTCTCACGTGGAACCCTTATCAATTCACATGCCACAGGCCATCAGCAGACGGATTTCTCTAAATCACTGCTCTGATCATTTACTTCCTTACTCAAAAAGGTCCAGGGACTCACCTCTGCCAACTAAATAAACCCAAGTGGCTGAAGCTCATGATCAAGGTCCTCTATCACCGGATCCCAATACGCCTTCTTAGATTTACCTCCTAGTGCTCTCCTAAATTCTTATGCCAACTGTGCTGCTACCATTCTCTGAATAAACCCTTTCTGCTTTTCCATCTCTATATTGTTCAAGGCATGGCATGCCCTCCCTACCACATACAGCTCCACCAATCAGTGGGATCCTTTCTTAAACCATTAACTCTGTACACTCATGCACTACCTGACACCAATGCTGCCGTTTCATCTAATTGTATGTATTTGAGCCTTCTGTGACTGAGCACCAGTAATCAAGATAGTATGACCGCACTAACTAAATGCCAGGCACTATGTTAAATGCTTCACAGAGACTGAATCATTTCATCCTCACCACAGACATGAGAGTTGGGTGCTATTATCTTCATTTTACAAATGAGGAAATTTAACCTTCAAGCAGTTTGCCTAAGACAAATAAGTAGAAAGAAGGAAACTAAGATTCATACAAAAGCAGTCCAAATACAGAGCCTTATGGTTATGACCCACCCCCCATCTTCCTACATTTAATATCTTCTGTACCAAGTGATTTATAAGAGTTATTTTATCCAGTACTCACAACAACGTCATGAAGCAGATATTCCTTATCCCCATTTTATCTTTTTTTTTTTTTTCAGCTGAGCCATCCTGCCACCTGTTGGCAGCTCAGCGGCTGTTCAGCTCGGGCTGACTCGAACCGCTGTTGCTCAGAGCTCAAACTCTTGAGCGAGCTCTTAACCAACTGAGCCACTCAGCCGGCCCTCCTTATCCCCATTTTAAAGATCAGGAAACTGAGGCACTGAGCAGTGAATTCATTTCTCTTAAGATTTTACAGTTTAGCAAACGGCAAAATCCAATTTGAACTCAGGTCTGAATGCCCTCAGAGTGCATGCTCACAATCTCTTCCCTATGTGACCTGCCACAGTGTCTTCTAAGAAGTCCCCGTGCACCTGACTGACACCTGAGAACTCGGTGCATGTGAGATTCCCATCCCGGGTTCTAAGGCACTAGGGACTGATGAAAGGCTACCATCCTTGAGGTTCACACCTGCAGTTTCTAAAGCAGCGGTTCTCAACCTTTCACAGGCATTGCCTAAGACCATCGGAAAACACGTTTTTGATGGTCTTAGGAACTGAGACACTGCTCCTCTATCCGTCTCCAGGCTCACATGCAGATACGCCCACATACGAGTAGCCGGCGACCCCTGAGAAAGGGTCGTTCCACCCCCAAAGGGGTCTCGACCCACAGGTTGAGAACCGCTGTAATCTAAAGGGCTATTCACCACTAAGAGGGGTTCAACTTACAACCCGCATGCTACCCTTATGTACTGGAAGGTCTTGAGATATAAGGCATAAAGTAAAATTAATCTGAACATATATCTGAGGCCCATTAGTATTATCTGGCATCTTCCAAAATTCCTCTATAAGCGGCCATGCATCAGTGTTGTTTTAAAGATCCCCCCACAGGAAGCACAGTTTGGGAACCACTGAGCTTAAGTGTTCCCTTCCAGTGACTTCACCCACCCCCAGAGAGCAGATACAGTTACCAGATGGCAGAATGCAATGGATACTCATAATTCTTCATCAGCAGCCATTTCCTTTCGAAGAGAGCTAAACCTCTCCTTCCTTAAATTACTTTGTTACTCCAACTCCTAACTATAGAACACACTCAATGGCTCCTCTCATTGCCTCCCTAGCAAACGAAAACGCTGACAAATTGCCCCTGGATGAGAGTAACTTTTCACTAACTGCACGGATCAGATTCAAGTTTATGTCCAAAGTACAACAGAACTATGGAGAAAAAATATCTATTTAAAAGAAAGAGTTTAGGGCCAGCCGAGCGGCATGTTGATTAGGAGTTGGCTTGGGGCGCCAGCTCTGAGCAGCAGGGCCCTGGTTCGGATCCCACATGAGGGCCAGTGACGCTGCGCCCTCTACAGCTAAGATGGTGAACAACAGCTCGACCTGGAGCTGGGCTGTGGTGAGTCACCAGCAATGGCATAGGCTGCAGTGGGGCTGGCCGGCAGCGGGCATGAGCTTTCGTGGCCGTCCAATGGCCGGCGAGTGACTGCCTCACCCGGGAAGAGCACAATGATAATACCAACATGGGCCAGTGAAGCGACGTCCTCCACAACTAGACTGAAGAACAAAAGGACAGCAACTTGTCTGTTCCCCTTCCCCAATTCCCCAGTGCTGTTCCCCTCCCCCAACTCCCCAATTAAAAAATTCTAAAAAAAAAAAAAAAGAAAGACTTTAAAGTGTTAAACAGTGTAAGAAGTATTGCTAGTTCATTTAAGTTTGTCAGAAGATTAGAAAATACCATTAAGAGGAAATCCAACCAAGTATCACACGCTTCCGGGGAGATGCTGTATTTCCATAAATACCACACAGTTTCACTGTGACAATACTCTCAAAATGTTAGCTCCTCAACACTTTCAGAAAGGAAACATAACCACAGACTAATAGGCAAAATATTGGCTAGGTCTTCTAAGCCCAAATCAGTTGAATATCTGCCATTTCATATTGTCCAACCTAAATATAAAGCAATAGAGTCTACACTGTAATAAAATTAGTTTTAAATAAAAACAAAGTTCTGTTTGAGAACTATCAACATAACACCTTATGGCTGAGAAGCAAACAAAACTTTCAATCAATTGTCTTTCTACAATCCACAAACTTTCAGAAATGAAGGGGGAGGGGTGGAGTGGAAATAAAGGAGCCACAGGGAGGTAAACCCCTCCCTTCTCACAATCAGCACACTCCATGCAGAGAATGTTTAAACTCAGGCTCCATTTACTGCAGAGGGCTGCAGACCTCACTCAGTAGAAGTCAACAAGCTTAGCCTCCTCTGCACTCCGGAAGGGCTCCTTCTACGTCCTTCTCAGAGTCTGTGATAAAGGACACCTGCTGTCCTGACCATGATCTTAAAATGTAACTGAGCTGGAGAAGTGTCTGGAAAGAAGTAAAATGGTCAAGAAAAAATGGGTCTTAAGAAAAAGAATTAAAGAAGAGGGAAAGAGACCTTCACTCAGAAAGATGAAGAGTCCTAAAAATATGAAATCTAAATGGTGTAGACACAAGAAATATGCATTTTCCTCCAAATTACAGAATTCTAAAATTAGAACCACAGATGCTTTGCATCCCGATAAACCTATGGTAAGTTGAAAATATCACTAAGTCAAAAAATGCATTTAATACGCCTAACTTACCAAACATCATAGCTTAGCCCATCCTACCGTAAATGTTCTCGGAACACTTACATTAGCCTACTGTTGGGCAATTATCTTGTTTCCTTTCAAGAGTAATTGCCTTCCTCTTCTACTCACCAGAATCAGGAGACACAGATGGGCATCCTGTAGACATAACAGAATAAGAAAACACAATACCCGAAAACCACTGGCAACACAGCACACTATAGAGTCTTGGTTGTTTAGCCTAGTGACCTCCTGGCTGGCTGGGAGCTGCTTGCTACCACTGCTCAGCATCATAAGGAGTATATAGTACAGCATATCGCTAGCCCGGGGAAAGATCAAAATTCAAACTTCAAAGTACATCTTCTACTGAATATGTATGGCTTTCACACCATTGTCAAGTAGAAAAACTGTTAAGTGGAAACATCATAAGTTGGGGACCATCTGTATATAACTTAAAGGATTAAAAATACACTTACAGTAAGTAAAAATATCTCTCTAACCAGGATATTGATCTATAGAAGTCATCCTCTTGAGAGGTAGTACTGCATAAATATCAGTAGTCAATCTCATATTCGCGGTAGGTAGGTTCTATGAAGTCACCATGTACATGAATTAGTGACTACCAATTGCTCGTAGGAGATATACAGGGTTAGGTTCCTGCCAGACATTTGGTAATGACATTTTCATCAGCTGATCAATACATACATAATAACCTTATTTCTGTCTAAAGACAACGTATTTAATATCTATTGTTGATTAACGCTGGACTCACGATAACTTATACCTGAACCAAGCTTATGTAACACATGTATTTTCTCCATAAGGCACATCACAGTCTGCTGGTGCCTAGGAACACTAGATAGCACTTCAGCACTGTGTGAGGCCATTTTAACCAGCAAAATCACCAGCACAAAGCAGAAAAATGCAGAAAACAAGCACTAGGCAGACCACGAAAAGGATACCTACTCACAGTATGAGAGCTGAAACAAGGCAGCACATCATCTTGTTCAATCCCAGCTGGGAATATGCGTGTCAGGTGACTCAAAATATCAGCACTGTGTGCACACCCACAAATGACCACAAAAGAGCCTCAAACATTGATTTTTGGGGTTACAAATACATGAGGTTTGACTATACATAAATTTTTGTAAGGCAGGTCTACAATAAATGATAAAAGGAAACTAAGATGTTTGCGGGGAATCAATTCATTTTAGAACCTGAATTAATAAAGGACAAATACTCTCCCACAAACTATCCTTTAGATAACTCTAAAGAGAACTAAGAGAAGATTTTAGCCTGAATAAGAAGTCTGGCCAAACTGATCCAATTGTGCAAGGAAACAAGTAACAGAGAGCAGCATCTATAAGCTCAGGCACTGACCTGGCATCCAACCTATCATCACGAACCACTATGGAAACCGCCACAGTTCTTGAAACTGGACACAAAGTCAGGAAATCTAAGAGCCAATTAGGCTAAAGGTCTTAAGGAAAAATCTGTGTTGTTTGCATTTTGTATGCAAAAAATCTTTGGGACGTATGACAAGACCATCCTGATTATTGAGACTGTCATCCAGGACTAGAGGCCTGTAACATTCAGGCTCACTTCCACCCAAGGTCCAAAGCCAAGGTCAGGGCTAGCACACGGGAGATTCACTCCCACTAGTGACAGGGCTGGATACTGTCAGCTATCTTCAGTCCAGGCTCACCTTACCTGAAGTTACCATCTTCCACCAGCCTGGCTCTAAACTAGGGAAGTAGCCCCCTTGAGATTTGAACCTGAACATGTCCTCCTTTTTCTGTGTCCCAGCCAAGAACAGGGACAAGAAGTAAGCCACTGGTCCCACAGAAGAGATGATGGCAACCCCTACTAGGAATATGACTTTTTAAAATGAGCAAGTATAATGTTCAAAACACTATTGTGTGAGTACCTTGTGTTCTTAATGCCAATCTGTTGACTTTTACAAAAAACACAGCTTATGTTGCACAATATCTTTATTTGGTAAAATGTTCTGAAAAGTGCCCCAAATATTTGAGGAACCTGAACAGACTACGAACTGTTTGAAGAGGCTGCCAACCGAAATTACTGATCCAAACAAAATGTCGTACTTCATAAAAACTCTTCATTTAGTCCTCAAGTTAAACAGAAAAATCAATAGGATCTAGTGGGAATATAAAATGATATAGCCAAAATGGAAGACAATATGACAATTTCTCAAACAATTAAACAAAAAATTAACATATAGTTCAGCAATTCAACTTCTGGAGGTTTACCCAAAAGAACTGAAAGCATGGACTTCAAGATATATTTGTATGCTCATGTTCATAGCAGCATGATTCACAATACCAAAAAGGCAGAATGAATAAACAATATATGATATCTACCTACAGTGGACTATTTTTTAGCCTTAAAAAGGAGATAAAGGGCCGGCTGAGTGGCTCAGTTGGTTAAGAGCTCGCTCAAGAGTTTGAGCTCTGAGCAACAGGGGTTCGAGTCAGCCTGAGCTGAGCAGCCGCTGAGCTGCCAACAGGTGGCAGGATGGCTCAGCTATAAAAAATTAAAAAAAAAAAAAAAAGGAGATAAATTCTAATACATGCTACATCATGGATGAACCTTGAAGACCTTATGCTACATGACATATGAGGTCTGACAATTAAGTTCGCGAACTTGCTACTGTGTGCTTACATTGGCAGCTCTGTACAAACAGCTCGGTAAGGTTTCATAACCTTGGTATATCAGTGTCTCACAGCTGTGTTCATGTCGATGTGTGGCAGTGTCTTGCTAAATGGCGTTCAATATTGTTGCGTGTTTTTGTGTGCCACTGCAAGAATGCCGGAGCTTGAATTAGAGCAACAAACAAACTAAATTTCTTGTTAAATTTGGCAACAGTGGAAGTAAAATCAGGGCCATGTTAGTCCAGGTTTAGGGGGTAATGCCATGAAAAAAATAGCAGTGTACAAATGGATTAAACGTTTTTCTGAGGGGAGAGAACGCATCACTGATGAACAGAGGTCAGGGCGGCCAGCAACGAGCAGAACTGATGAAAACATTGCAAAAATTCCTTGAATTGTGCATCAAAATTATCAGCTGACTGTGAGAAGCATAGCAGACCAAGTAAACATCGATAAACAGTTAGGAAAATCTTAACTAAAAATCTTGGCATGAGAAAGGTCCAAAAATGGTCCTGAAGGAGCTCATCCATAAACAAAAGCAAAGGAGACTCGAAGTTTGCCAAGACCTTTTGAAGAGGCAATACGATGTTTTGGGCCATGTTATCACTGGTGATGAAACATGGGTGTACCAATACGACCCTGAAACAAAGTGTCAAAGTGAACAATGGAAATCAGCCAGTTCTCCATGACCAGAAAAACTCTGTCAGTCCAAATCAAGAGTCAAAACAATATTACTAACCCTTTTTGATATCAGAGGGATTATTCATTATGAATTTGTACCAACTGGACACACAGTTTAGCAAGTTTACTATTTGGAAGTAAAAAGGCTACATGAAAAAGTTAAGACAAAAACAACCTGAACTTTTTGCCAACAATTCGTGGCTCTTGCATCATGACATGCACCTGTGAGGGAGTTTTAAGCCAGTAAACAAATAACTGTATTGGAACACCCTCCCTACCTGCTTGATCTGGCTCCCAATGACTTTTTTCTTTACCGAAAGATAAAGGAAATATTGAAGGGAAGACATTTTGATGACATTCAGGACATCAAGGGTAATATGACGACAGCTCTGATGGCCATTCCAGAAAAAGACCTCCAAAATTTCTTTGAAGGGTGGACTAGGTGCTAGTGTCGGTGCATAGCTTCCCAAGGGGAGTATTTCAAAAGTGACCACAGTGATATTTAGCAATGAGGTATGCGGCACTTTTTCTAGGATGAGTTCGCAAACTTAATTGTCGGACCTCATAAGCCAGATACAAAATGACAAATATAACATGTGATTCCACTTATATGAGATACCCAGAGTAAGCAAATTCATAAACACAGGAAGTGGAAAGGTGATGCTTATGGAGAGAGGCAACCAGGGACCAGGCAGTTGTTGTTTAATGGGTACAGAGTTTCAAGACGGAAAAAGCTCTGGAGATGCATAGTGGTAAGGGCTGCACAACAACGTTAATGTCCTCAATGCCACTGAATGGCACACTTAAAAAAAGTTAAAATGGTAAGCTTTACTTTATGCATATTTTACCACAATTAAAAAAAAGAAGAAGATTAAAATCCAAAAGTAATTTTACCAAAGCTGTGCAAAGGTAAACAAATGACAAATCATTTTTATGTATGATACATCCCACAAGGTCATTCAATATACAACTCTGAGCTTAGCCGCCATTCCATTTATAATACCCAACCTGATTTTCTCCCAGGACAGCAAATTAGGAGGTGGAGCCTGAGCATAAACTGCAAATGTTCACAGAGAGGACATTCAGAACTGCACTGCGGCGCCAGCTTTTGCCCTAAGGAATCAGCCCACCTGTGATGAAGAAGTATCTTATTTCTTCACCTCAGCAGGATTCTAGATACAAGGCAGTGCATGAGGAAATCTGTCTTTCCCACATTTCTGGGATTTCAGGTTACACCTATGGTTTAACCCAAGCAATTCTTGACTTCATAAAGGATCAATTCTTTCAGGCTAATCAAGTGGCAAATTAATACCTTTGGGAGATGTTTACAAGTGCCAAGTCAGATCATATTTCCCAAAGGCAACGTTCCAAAGCGTTGGTGAGAAGAGGAAGAAAACAGGTGGACAACAACTCACTTGAACTACAAAGAGCTTTGTCTGAACTGTCACCTCAAACCTGACTTCCGTGTTGAAGGATTTCAGAGTGGAGTGCTAGCGAAATTTTCAATTTATTTACGGGAGATAAACATGATCTAGAAATACAAAATGTAGCTAATTTATAGAGAACTCTGAGTATTCTTCTCCTAAATGGCAGAAGGGAGTGCAACAGAATAACAAAAACGATGATGATGATAAGGAGGAAGACAACAAAGATTCACTGACTGAGAGTACAGGCATTGCTACCATGTCACAGAAGAGGAAATAAGGCTTACAAATTGTAGCCTACCAGACAGTGAGATGCCAGACCTCCAGGATTCACACAATTCCAAGATTAATAAAACTCTGCTCAAAGGAAGATGTGGAGAAGACCATCTAGCCTTTTGTAAAAATATATATATATATATATTCACAAGAAACAGATGTTCTATATAAGTATCAACTAGTTAAAAGAAATGATACTTAAAGTGTTGGGTTTTATCTTTCAATGAGAATTTTATCAAAAACTGTATATATTTAAGGTATATAACATGGTATTTTGATATACATATACATTAGGAAATGATTACTATAGTCAAGCTAATTAACATATCCATCTCTTCATATAGTTGTGTGTGTGTGTGTGTGTGTGTGTGTGTGTGTATGTGTGTGTGTTGGGAACAGTTAAGATCTACTCTTTTAGCAAATTTCAAGTATACAATACAGTTAAATGAGGGTTTTTTGGGTTTTTTTAAAACAAACAGCCCAAGGCAAAGAGATATCCAGGATCAAGTTTATAAAGAGCTCTTCAGTTCCTGACACTGATATACATGTGGCAACTCCTTTGTAAAAACACCTGAAATCCTTACTCTTCTTATAATAGTTATGACCAGGGTAAAATATGAGATAATTGTATGGCATTTCTCAATATGAAAACAAATATCAAATCGGTCTTATCACTGCAACTGCTATCATGTACACTAAAGGAAAAGGAAATACTGTATAACTTGAATGAAAAGCAACATAAAATAGATGAAACCATAAATTCTCTCTAAAATTACTAAAAACAATGTAAAATTTAAAGCTTTATACAAACTATCCAATTTTTTAATACTATTAAAAATAACCATAACTATAGGATATAGTGAGTGAATCTGTATTTGGCTTCCATTTATATTGGGCTATCGGAAAAGTCATGATGCATATTTGCAACGAAAAACATAGAAAAAATACGTCATGACTTTTCTGAAAACCCAATATTTTCCTTTAGTTAACAAAATTATATTGAACATAATTAAATGGTTCATTTAAAAATTATCATCATTCCCTTTCTCAAATACAATCCTTTCTCCTAGATTTAATTTTATAGATCAAATCTCACTGAAGTTCACTTTTAAATACAACTTTGATGTAAATTAAGATTTTAAGGAACAACAAAACTTCTATAAATATACCTATGAAATTCAGGCATGATAACACTGAAAATTTTTCATGTCTAAATCAATTTGATAGTTATTTTTTAATACTTATGTTTTAATTAGATTCCAATACAAATTTAATATTTTGCAACAGCCTGTGGCCAAATGTTATCAAAGGCAGTCCTGACTTGATCTCAATAGAAAACTCATTATATATTGGTAAAGTTTGTTTAAATTAAAAAAAAAATTAGCCTGATGCAAATAGCAACTTCTCTAGTAAGGTTTAAATAGTTCTATTTATAAAACTTTTAGGTATAAAACTTTTAGGTATTAACGTAGAGTTTTCCCAAAATGCTTCTGAGGTGCCCATTTTGATATCAAATGACACTTACCTTCCGGTAAATCATATGGCACATGGCTACTCTTAACCTCATCCCAGCACACTGAACGTGATAGAAGTATAGGTGGTGCAGTAAGGCCAAAATAAGTGTGCAAACAGTCAGCACTGTGGCATAGGCGTAGGCTTCGTGCAGAGTCACAGAATCAGTGGAATCATAGTTTTCAAAATAACTAATAATCTTTCCCAAAAATAAGGGCTGGATTACTTTGATGCCTTCCTAAAAGAAAAAAAAAATGTCTGAATTATTAGCATATAAAAAAGGCATTATGATCAAGTGCTACATTTATCACTAATCTAAAAGAAAAAATTTGAGGGCCGGCCGAGTGGCTCAGTTGGTTAAGAGCTCGCTCAAGAGTTTGAGCTCTGAGCAACAGCGGTTCGATTCCTAGCCCGAGCTGAGCAGCTGCTGAGCTGCCAACAGGTGGCAGGATGGCTCAGCTTATAAAAAATAAATTAAATAAATAAATAAATAAATAAAAAGAAAAAATTGAATTACTTTTTTCTTTATGACCAGCAGATAGTAGTTTTAACCTTAAGCCAAAACTTGTAAGTTCAAAGACAATAAAGCTTTCGTACATTGTGCTTGGTACACTGTGGATGCTCACTAAATAGTACAACCAGAGCTTCAGAATGCATTTGGAAAAATATCAAATGAGCCTTGGCATAAGATGAATAAGGAAAAAGGTGGCAAAAGAAGGGTAAGGAATTTGCTTACATATAAATAGCCCATTTCCTCTGTACTTTCAACTTCCCAGCCCAAAAGAAAGTCAAGAATTTAAGGGAGGCACATTCTTGCCACCTCCTTCTGCTTTGAGAGCCTTTACGAAATGTGATATTGGCAAACAGGTCAGAAGAGAGAACCCTCCAATCTTTCCCAACTCAAATTCAACATGTCCGTAGGTCAAGAGAACAGAGTCTAGCTTCTTTTGAAATATTAAAAAGGAAGTTTTATAGTTTTATTGAACTATTAAAGGAACCAGGCTTGAAAAGTTCCCAGACTCTCAGCCCCAAAGGGTGTTGCTTTGATATGTCATTACCCCCTAAAAGTTGGGATGTGCCCAGAAGTACTGCCTCCTTGGAGTCAAAAATTAAGCATGTCAGAAGCCAAGCTAAAAAATGTCATCAGTGGTTTTCAATCAGCCATACGTTGCAGGTGCTTGCTACAACCCAAGGCAAAAATCAAAGTCCTACACCAATGAGTTGGGAGTCACTGGGCTTACCTCCTGAATAAGACTTAGGGAAAGTATTTTTCTTCCCCAAGAGGAAAAAGCAAATAGACACCAAAACTTGCCCCTCTCTGACAAATGGCCACTCCACCCTACAAACTATTGGGTTAGTAGAAAAAGCAGGTTAAAGGGTAGGGTTTGTTGTGCAGATTTAAGTCTTCTTAAAGACCTCTACATTGATAAGATTCTCTAGTGATTTAAAGCCATCCTTCTCTTGGTACAGAGAGGGGGACACTTACAAATGAGGATTTCCTTTATAAACGTAAATGTCCCTTACAGAAGGGTTAACTTCTACTCTGTTTTCAGAGCTTCCCCTGTGTCTGCTGTGTCTCAAAAATAATCAGCTCAAAATAATCTTTATACCAAAGATGCATATTCTGGGGTGACATATTCTGCTACCCTTCAATCCTAGTCTATTTTTGTATTTTTGAAATGTTCTTAAAAACATAAAGAAAAAAAAAGAAACACTGCAGTTGACAGAGGAGCACAGAACTGTTGATAGAAAAAAAAACACCTACTCTTGGCTCTCTGACCAGTCAGTGAGGGCCTGTGGCAGGAAAGAGAGCATCAGGACAGAATGCCAAGTAGGAATTAAAACGTTTTGTTTCAGAAACCAGGTGTGCCACTTGTAAGCCACATGATCCTAAGCCTGTCACATTCTTATCCTTGGAAACACCTGCCTTGTCTCGCGTCCTGGAACAGTTAAATGAGCTATGACAGCAAAAAGTGCTCAGAAGACACCAGCATGAAAATAAGCTTAAGCTATGATCACTTTTATTATACAGAAGTTCTGGGAAGAAACCTACTCTATTCTTAATGGCAGAGGCTGGTTTCACAAAGGGTTTGGAAGCTCCCTGCTATTTACGGGAGATCATGGCAGAACAAGAAATCTAGACAGACGTCATTCCTACCTAAAAGCCAACTTTTCTAGACAGTAATTAGAAGTTTCACTTCTAAGCAGACTTTTTTTTAAATTTTAACCATTATGGATGCAATCCTTTTAAAGAGTCACCTAATTCCTTAACTTCTTAAAGAACATGGACTGAGAAGCATTGCCCTTGTAGATGACTCAAGAGTCACCACTGTCGTTATTACTACACTCATCTAGATCGTGCTGAGAACCAGCAGTTCTGCTCTACAGGTCTCCTGTACTTTTCTGGCGGCTGCCTCCAGCTCTCCTTGGCTGTGTAGTCCTCAGTGGTTGCTCCCAGCCCAGTTTCTTCAGCAGCCACTCCTCAGCCTCCTGAGCTGAGCGGAGGTGAGGGGCACTTGGAAGAAAGAGATGGGAAATAAATGCAAAGGCCCAGTACAGCTCTCTAGGCATCAGCCCTACATCAAGGCACAAACTCTGTTCAGAGAGTTTTGTCTGTTTACTTCTTGTTCATCAGCTGAGTTCCAACATGAAGATTTACACCAACTTTTGCCTCCCTACAGCCTCCCTATGGACCAAAGACAATCACTAAAAGTGGCCTCAGACAAAGGCCAAGTCGCTGGACAAGGCCGGCAGCCACCTGGGCCATTTCTAATGGTCACTGGAATAGGACCTAACCCCAGTCCACTCTTCCCCTCTCAGGAGAAGGGGCCTGGAGAACCCACACGGGCTCGATGAGAACCCACACAGGCCCACTAACGCACCAGCAGGCAGAGAACTCATCTCTTAAAGAAAAGGCCCCATGGCTGGGAAGGTGGCCTCTGTCAATGTGTGGCCCTTTAAGAGTATGTAGGCTCTTCCTCTCCAGCCTGAGGGCTCTGGGAAGGCAGGGACTTGCTCCACCCCTTCCCCCACAGTCCCTGTGGAGGTGCACACAGGCGCCAGGCGTGCTGGGAACGCACTGGCTGTTCCCTTCTAATTAATGTTGGCCTGCATGAGTGCCGCATTCATCACCAGCCTGGTACTTGTTTCTCCCAGCATTACAATCATTCCTCAATTCTCACAGGACAGAGGTTTTCACTACTTTGAAATGTCAACCTCAAAAGCCTTGCCCTAGACTGGTGTCACCCTGTCTCTTCCAGCTGGTGCTGCCAGCAGTGCCCGGGAAGGCCCTCTGCCCACGCTTTGGTTGGTAATATGTCATGATTTGCTTGGAAATCATGAATAGTTCAAGAACCTGAGCTTTTTAGAAAATCCTGGGTTGAGTTCAGATCTTCCACTAACTGAAATACAAAGACCAATAAGCACAGGTATAAGATCACAAAATGCGAAGCTGTCCAGTCACTAAACTCACTTCATCCCATCTAACTCAGTGGCTAGTTTAAATCACTGAAAACCCAAAAAAGCACCTCAAATTATTTTGAAATATAACAGATCCTTACTAGTTTTACCTTAAAAAATAATTTCTCTCTAACTTTTCCAAAATAGCAGTGTCAACGAGCCAAGTCTAGGAAAACAAGAGTATTTGTGTTGGATTTCAGGCTTCTTTCGGCAGCCGGGGAAAAAAATTCTAGGTTTACTTCCATTGAGCCCTAATGACCCTTGGAAGTCCCTGAACCTCACTGCATCAGGACTAGGAATTACGCCAGTTACTATCTTAAAGACACAAAGTTATTGGGCGGTCGGAAAAGTCATGATGTATTTTTTCTGTTTTTCATTGCAAAAACGCGTCATGACTTCCGACAATCCAATAGAATGAGCATTGTATGCTAGTCACCATGCTCATCCAGGGAATCTAGGCCATTGTCTAATTTTATACCATAAACCACCAAGATATTGACCTGAACACAGAACAAGCAAGCAAGCGCCCTCCTGGGAGAAAGCCCACTTCCATTTCACATCTTATGTGTCTGCCAATAGCACTGTCTGGTTACACCTAGCTGTCACCATAACACCCCAGACCTGGTGCACACCCTGAGAATGGGAACGTGTGTTCAGACATCGGGACCTGCCCCCCACACGAGTGACTGACCTGGGTTGCTCATTCTTGTTGACCTCATGCACATCCACTCCAAGCTTCACAGAGATACCAGCTCTCAGCAGGGACCCAGGTGCTCTGGCTAAGTAACAACATAGAGAACTTGGCCTCTGCCCAGGTCATCTGAGTCCCATGCAAAACCACTGCCTCTCACTGGTCTGTCTCAAAGAGCCAATCTGGAATCGTGTCTTAAGCATGTGAATGGATGTTCAAGAACTTAGGTCACCAGGGTAGCCACAACTGTAGCCACTTGGCAATAGTAATGAGTGAAGGTGGCTTTCTGTAAGTCTCCTGGTCCACCTGAATACACTATGCTGCTGCTGCTAATGTCAACACCAATGCCACTTCCAGGGCCCAGGGGATGTGGCGACCTGGACTCTACCCCAATTTACAATCCCCAATCTATCTTCCTGCTCCAGGGAGTTCTTAGCATCTTACTTATCATTCCTGGTCCAAGTTCAAGATGCATGTGCCTAAGACCCTGAAGACACAGGCCAAGATATCACTCATTGAGATGGTCAGGCTCTTAAGTCAGAGTGCCTAAGGTGGAATCTCGAATCTGTCCTTTATGCTTTGAGTGACCCTGAGCACAATATGTAACTACGTGTTACTGTGTGCCCTCTTTTCTAAGATGGGGATGATAATATTAATACTACTTTCCATCTCGTTTGAGTTGGCCAAAGAAATAAACTACTACTACATGCAAAGTGCTTACAGTAGTTCCTGATACACATTTTTCAGGTACTTATTATTATTGCTATACTAATAGTGCTGCTGATGTTACCATCAACAGTACCACCAAGTATGAGCCCCTACTGAAACTTCAACTTTTACTACCACTGAGTATGAACCACTACTACTGCTGCTATTATTACTACTGAAGAGTACTATTACTACTACTGCTACTACTGAGTATAAGCCTCTACTGCTACTGCTACTCATATTAATATTAATACTAATACTAATACTACTGAGTATGAGCCCCTATCTTGTCCAGGTACTCTATTCCCCACTTTTCTGTCATGACTAACTAACCTCCTAAAATAAAAGGCCAGCACTCTACCGGCGGTACCATCATTCAG